TGGGGTTCTTATCTGCCTCTGGCTACAGCCACCACTGGAGGGGTAGAGGTGGGGTTGGAGCCACCAGTTCTGGGGTCTTCTCATTAAAACATATTCACAAGCAGTATTTTCTCCCTGCTCCACTCCCACAGGCACCTCTACTCTGATTCCTACACTCTTCACCACTCCTCAGAGCAGCACCACAGTACCAGAGAGGGCAGCTGGGGCAAGCACCCTCCACCCAGGTCAAGCCTGGGGGAAGAAAGAGCACTACCCCCCCTTCTGGAAGTACCCCAGGCTTGCCAAGTAATATGATGAGACTCAACAATCTCATCTACCTCCCTCTGCCCGCCTCCCCGTGTCACCTGGGGAAGACGACAATTTGTCCAGGTTGGACTCCGATTTTGTGATCCTCCTGTCTCTGCTTCCCCGAGTGCTGGGATTAGTGTGTATCACTATGCCTGGCTACACTAATTTTATCCAGTAGTCTCAACTCCTCTGTAGAGATTTTCTTTTCTGTATCTTATAGGTAAGCAATAAAAGGCCAGGAGGGGTCAGTAAATTGGCTGGCTGCCCCAGGACTCATCCTTGGAGAAGCAGTGAGAGCCCTGGGTTACCGAGTCTAAGTGCCCCCAGCCGGATCACTCCTATACTTCACATCCCAAGCCCCAGTCAGCCCAAAGCCTTAGGATTTCTGGAACAGACAGACAGAGGGAGTGTCTGTCTGAAACAGACAGACAGATGGATACCCACCCCTACTCACTCTTTCAAGCCATTCTTGCCTTTTCACCCTCCTCTTCCTCCTATCCCCAAAATAATTTATTTTTTCAATAAATGAAAGATTCTTCTGAAAACTTACAACTATACAATTAAGACTCAAGAATGGTTTTGGTGAAAATATCAAAGGTTTCTCCATAGCAAATATCCTTGTAAAGCTGTTTCTTATCTGGCATCCACCTCCTCTGCCTTAGGCTCTCCTGCTTTCAGGAAAAGAACCATGCACCATGACCTTAAATCGGGGACAAAGTTATCTGAGATCTTACAAGCCTGCATCCAACGGGTATCCACCCCTTAAACAGACTTCCTTCAGAGGAAAAGGACAGACTTTGTTTTTCAAATCACTGTCACCACATCCAGCACTAGCCCCTGGGCTTAGTGATGGACACTTGAGTGGACACACATTGGCTGGGCCATGCCTTGTCAAGCCCTGGACTTGACACTGCACTGAAAAACTCGTGTCCAGTGGCTTAAAAAGCACTTTTGTGGAGTAGTATTGAGGATTAAACCCAGGGCTTCGGCACTGAGTTATATCTCCTGCCCCTTTTTACTTTAGACCTCGTTAAGTCTCTAAGTTACCCAGGCTAGGCTTGAACTTCCTACCTCAGCCTCCAGGAGTGTTGAGATTGCTGGACTGTGCCACCAGGGCCAGCTGAGGCCTTCTGATTTACAGATTCAGAATTGTTTCCATGTTTAAGGGAGCTTTTAACTCATCTTCACAGAGAAGAAAACACATGATGGCCTCATAGAAATAACACACTCAATAGCACAGAGCCAATCAAATAAACACCAACAACAGAAGAGCAAACTTTTCTATTAACCAAAAATATCTTGAATGATGTTGTGAATTACGTCGAAACTCCTTTTTTTCCCCAATACCAGAGATGGAGTCTAGGTCTTTGTGCATACTAGGCAAGCACTTAGTACTGAGCTATATTCCCAGCAAAGAAAGAAAAAAAAAAAGAGAGAGAGAGAGAGAAAGAATGATTTTTTTAAATTTTATTTTGAGATAAGGTCTCACTAAATTCCTAAATTGCCCAAGATCGCCTGGAATTTGGGATCCTCCCTCCTGCCTCAGCCTTCTCAATACCTAGGACTACAGATGTACACCACCACACTAGGCTTAAACCTACTTTTTAAAATTGTATCAAAATGTATTTGTTACTTGGCATAAAAGATATGCTGCTTAAATATGCTAAAAAGCATGGTACCACACAACTGTAACCCTAGCTACTCAGGAAGCTGAGGCAGGAGGATCAAAGTCAAAGCCTGGGCCCGCCAACTTAATGAAACCCTGCCTCAAAAAATTTAAAAAGTTGAAATTTAAAAAAAGATGTAATTGAGTGGTAGAGTACTTATCTCTTGTGGGCAAGTCCCTGAGTTCAATCCTTAGCACCTTACGAGTAAAACAAAGTCTACTATAGCATTATTGCTAATAGCAGAAAAAAGAAAAACAGAAAAAACCAAAACCAGTCATTCCTACTTTCATAATTTTCAGGATAGTTATAGAGCATCTACTATTATCAAGGTATCAAATCTAATTGGGGATACAGTGTTATAAATGGGACCAGGCTTGGGCTCATAGAACTTCTGTTCTACAAGAAGCAGACACTAACATAATTATATTACGTATTTTCTCCCAACAGTTATGACAATATTCTTTTCTAAATAACAAGAGGAAACAGTGCAACACACAGATGTTTTAAATGATGTCTAAGATATTTTAATAATAATGGAATGTTATAAGAATATCATTTAATAAAAGCAAGAAACAATGGAATATCATTTAATAAAAGCAAGAAACAATTGCTTCACACAATTTTTAACCTCCTCAATGGTTAAAAAGAAAGTACAGCAGGAAATCTTAATGGTCATAAGAGCAATCCATTCTACTAAACCAGAAGGTGGAGCTCAATGCGGAGCAGCGTACACTTTGCGCGCGAGAGGCCCTGAGTTTACTATCAAAAACCAGAAAAAGGAGGAGGAAGAGGAAGAGGAGGAAAAATAATTAGGGATAGCCAAGAAAAATGATTAAACAAATTCTTACTCTCAGATGAAAGAATGGATTTGCATGCTGCAATAAATTCCAAATGGTTTAAGAACCAACAAGAGTCCCTCTCTGGTCTAATATTTCATAACATAGTTTTTTTTTAAATGTTTCACAGTCATATTTTAAACCAGTGAGGAAAGGATAAATTAGGCAATAACTAGTTAGTTAGCTATTTAGAAAAATAAGGAAACTTAGATCTTTACATTGTACCACAAATTCCTAAAGCATTTCAGTGTTAAAATTTAAAACCCATTCAATGGAATTTTGAAAACTATTAAACCAGAAGGCAGACAGGCATTTCCTAGCACTTTCAAAGAGTGCTGGTTTTGTTTTTTGTGGTGCAGCAAAGAAACCCAGAGCCCTTGCATGGCCCTTCCCTCTGAGCTACACCCCAGCCTAGAATGGCAGACTTGGTTATACAGAACTAAAATACATTTCTAGCTAGGGCTGGAGCTTGGTGGTAGAACGCCGGCCTAGCATGGTTTAGGTACTGGTTTCATCTCAGATGTGAAAAAAATAACTAACTAGGGCCAGAGATTTAGCTCAGTAGCACAAGTGCTTGCCTGGCAAGTGCAAGCTCATGAGTTTAAGCCCCAATACCAAAAAAGAAAGAAAAATTAACTAAATAACAATATCTAAAGCAAATACATGAAATCAACACAGGATGATGACACTGTACAATGCTACTTTCCCGTTCTCACTGTATTAAGAGGATAATGCATTTATTTATTTATTTATTTATTTAGTGGTTCCAGGATGGAACCCAGGCCATCATCGTACATGCAAGCAACACCGTCTACACTGAGCTACAGTCCCGGCCCTAACTCTTCTTTAAAAGCCTTTCAAAGATCAAGTATGTTGACTACCAGACCTTGTCCCAAAGTCGTGAACTAAAGCAACTGAGAGGGGTGCAAAGAACACAGCTGACGACCTTACACACAGGGGCAGGGCAGGCAAGTATGACAGACACAGGGTACCCTTGCCAGGCAGCACAGCGAGGACTCATAGCCACCATTCTGATGGCATCACGTGATTTCTTTGCTCCAGTCAAGGAAGATGGCAGAGACCCAGAGGGTGGCAGAACATGCAAGAAAAAGCACAAGGGCAGGGATCATTGCACAAACAGCATGGTGGCAGAGGTCACCAGCCTCCACGGGTCTCAGGACCATCCCAGAGCAGGCACTGATACCAGTCGCTTGCCGGGGTGAGATCTGCAGAGACGCCCCAGTGCTGCCCTCATGGTGTGAGGCCACAGCACTTGGTAAGCCGGCAAGTGCAGTAGCAGACAGGCCTGATGATCTCCCTGGACTCCACCCCAGCCGGCCTCCCTAGAGGAGGAGGCTAGGCTCTGCAGAGCCAGGCCACCGGCCACAGAGGAGACCACAGTGCGCGACCCTCTTCACTCGGCCCAGGCTCCTCTGCACCTCCCACCCAAGGAGGTGGCCCCGAGGCCCCGATGCCAGAGAAGGAAGAAACACACAAGTCACTCAGACACAGCAGCAACAGAAAGTGTCTGCGGGATACTTCCCATGTGCGCGGACAGAGCATCAGCAAGTGAAGAGCCACTGCCACACCAAGGGCTTTACTTACCTTTGCGTTTGTAAGCTTGAAATTACACGTCTCATTTCAAAGAAGAGACAACTAATTCAGAGTCAAGGCCACAAAGGGTTACAGCAGAGATTCAAGTTCCAAAGCTCATTCTCTCAATCTCATGCCCACGGGCATGCAGGGACGCAGGCTGGCCTTTCTGGCACCTCTGCCACATGGTGCTTGGCTACACTTTGAGAGACACCCATAGAAATCACAGTAAGCACAAGAGCCACCACCAGGCACTGTGTCCACACACAGAGCAGCAAAGACACAAGCCCGCCGGGCTGTGGGCCTGCACTCATAACAGAATGAGGCTTGCTTTCTTTGGGAGACACATTTCATTACATTATCCAGGCTCATCTCAGCTTTCTCCCAGGCGCCTGCAATCCCCTTGCCTCAGCCTCCTGAGTATCTGGGACCCCAGGCATAAGCCACTTTGCTTGGCTTTCTGTGTTTCCATTTTTCAGATGAAAACATGAGGGGAAGAGGTCACACACCTAGGAAACCCGAACCTATGTCCGATACCAAAGCCTGTGCCCCTCACCCACTGGAACAACCAATGAGGTCCTGCTGGGCCTTTCGCTCCACCTCCCCCAGCCACTACCTTGGTTGAGGTAGGTCAGGGTCTCCTCATGCAGCTTCACGGCCGGTGACGTGGCAGCACACAGTACGTACTGCAGGGGTGGCAGGCGGGCCCCGTTCTCAGGGGACAGCTGGGGCTCCTCCTGCTTGAAGATAGGCAGCGCGAGCACATCACTGCAACACACAGGAAGCGACAGTCAGGGGCCGGCCACAGCAGCCCTTTCCACAGGCCAAGTGCACAAAGGCGCTGGACGTGGACGCTGGACGTGGCAGAACACTGTCATTCACGGCAAGTCCGCCGGGCGCCTGCTCCCTCAGGCGACAGCCTCCTACCTGTTAAGATCACTCTTTCAGGATCCTAGGGTTCCTCAGGAGATCTATTCAATCAAGTCCAGGAGGTAAAAATACAGTTATCTCCTAAATCCTAAGTGAAGACTGACTAGCACTGATAAAGTGGCCTTCTGAAGCTATTTGGTTTCAATCCACAGAAGCCTACTCATAAACCCTTACTTTTAGAATAATGATCTGAGTAATAATTCTTTCAGCCCACCATGGTGGTACATACCTGACAGAGACCCTGTCTCAAAAAATTTAAAAGAAGGGCTAGAGGTGTAGCTTAGTGTGAAGCCTGGGAGTCAATCCCCAAGAAGACAAAATAATAAGTGATAATGTTTATTTTTAATCAACTTTTCTATCTACCAGTCACTTCTCAGGCCAGTTACAACTCTGCCCCAGAGCTCTGTACCCCATGCCAACGAAGCACATTCTTGCTTCCCTCACTCAAATTGAGGTCCTCCTCTGCCCTTCTGAAAAGGGGACAGCAGGTTCATAATCCCCACTGCAGAAAAGCTCACAGCAATTGTCCCAAGATGCAAAACAAGGAAGAAGAACCTGCATTTCAATTCTGTTTCCTTTCCCAAGTGGAAAATCTTCAGATGCTCAAAGATTCTTTTTGTCTTCCTCCAAGCAAAACTCTTCCACTGCACTGAAATCATATCAGCCTCCCATCAGCAGTGTCTGAGCTATTTACTTCTAAATTTCTGTTTAAGAAAAGGGCCTCACTGTGTTGCTTAACTGGCCCCAAACTTCAGAGATCAAAAGGTCCTTCTGCCTCAGTCTCCCAAGTATCTGGGAATCCAGATATGCTCCACTGAATCCTAAAAAGGGGAATATAGTCAACTCTGAACAGCAGGACTCTATTGTGAGCACTGCAGAGAAACAGATGCCCCCCCCCCCAAAATGCCATGCCCCATGTTGATAACCCTCCTCCCTTTTTGGGTCCCAGGTTTTGAATCAGATTAGCTGACCCTACTTTACTGCATAAACAGAGTCCCTGGTACAACCTGTTCCTTGAACGCATCATAAATGTGTGTTTTGGAGGCCGACACACCGCCCAATAACAGCCAACCAGTTCTCGGGAGGAGAAGCCTGGCTTTGGGCATGCTGGGGAAGCCTCACCCACACAAGTTTCCCTGCCACCATCTGCTGCCTGAAGGACAGCACCAGGCTGACCCTGCTCCCCTGAGCACACCTGCTTCTTTCTTTTTCCAGCTTGTGTGGTTATCCAGGAACCCAGGAGAAGCAGGCAGGTCTGTTCACCTGAGGACGGCATGTTTGTCCAGACCATGTTCAGTTAATAACCCATGCACTCCTGCTTTTACAGTAAAAAAAAAAAAGTGAAGTTCAGGAGGTTAAGAACCTCACTCAGCAGCAACTTGCTTCAAGCCTGACATCCTTATTTGCCAAGAAATAAAAGTCACCAGAACATCAAACAGAACAGAGTAAGGGCCACTGCCTTGGTGAGATCACACAACTTGCAAACAGTTTTGCAGCATGAAAATGTCCAAAAATACAACAACAACAAAATCCAAGGAAAAGGACAAGATCCTGTCTCTGGGGGAGAGGGGTCAGACATTTATGCACTGACCCCTACCTTGGCCATTGTGAGATCAACCTCTGGGAAGGCAAAACCCTCAGCAAGAAATAGTGTGAAAAACTTTAGAAGAGCCGAAGGTAAAGCTCAGTGAAAGAGCCCTTGCTAGCTAGGGTATTCCACTTTTGGACCCATTAAAAAAAAGGTGAGGGTGGAGATGTGGCTCAGGGACACACCAATTGCCTTGCATGCATGAGGTTGAATTCAATCCCCAGCACCCTAAAAGACACACTAAAAAAAGACTATGGACCTTCACCATCCATGTCATCCAGTTTTCCAAAATCACCCCCAAGGCAGGATGACTTTATAGCACCTTTCCCCTCCAAGTTTCAGCCTCCTCTCTTCACACAACACCAACCCTGAAAGGAACCCAGGCTGCTCCAAGAACAAGCCTGCATCTTGGTACAGATGTCAGAATTGTGCGTCTCAAGCAAGAGGATGGCTCTTACCTAATGGGACATTTTGGATCTCTGAGACGTTTTAAATACTGCATGCATCTTCAATTCAAGGTCACCTTCAAAGTCATTTTTAAGGCATGTCAAGACACTTACAGGGCACAAACTAAATTCAGATAAAACTGCAATGTGCACACAAGTGAAAACATATCTCATTGTAGCATTTTTTCAAAGTGAACAAATCCCTTACTATTTTGCAAGAAATTAACATTCTTTCAGTGGGACTGGTGTCCCCAAAGCTGCTTCCCTTTGGTGACACCAGCAGGGTCTGCAGAGGGACCACAGTCCTTTGGACCTATGGCTTTTTGGCATCTCCTACCGCTGTGAATGAAACCCAGCTGATACATCAGTTAAACCCACTCAATCCCTCGGGCTTTCTGGAAGGGGGAGGACAACTAGACAGGAATGACAGATAACTTGTAATCATGTTATATCAGAGCAGGAACTTCTTGAAGCCAAAAGCAGCACTAAGGGTCCGAGCTATGGCTTGGGAGCCATCAGCCACACCTCACATCACATCACATGCCTCACATCAGCGTCACAATTCACTTTGCCTGAGCTCACATCAAATGCCCTTTGGGTTAAATTAGGGACATTTAATAAACTGTGACTAGGATGGAAATAAAGACAGGCTAAAGCTGGTTCCAGCGAGTTCAGAAAGTGAAATGACTGCCCATTAGTAACCAGCCAGCTGCACAACAGAGGGAAAAAAATCTTCCTGAACGGAAGCAAATGGGGGTCCTACTTTCTAAAAGGGGGTTGTAGAGAACTTTGCGAAACAGGCAGGACTTACTTTTCCCTTTGAAGAACACTAGTCAAATCCCTGCAGAAGAAGAAAGATTTCCATCAAGGGCAATAAGTGCTCAAGCCTCGCGCAGACAGGAGCAAGACCATTCGGGGCAGAGTGACCTCCCCTCCCCTGCCCCTGAAGGGCGCTGCAGAGGGTCAAGGAGCAGGGGATGGCTTCCTGGGGTGGTCCTGCAGATGGCACAAGTTTCCTCTTCCTTCCCAAGCGGGCAGGGGAGACACGGGAGGTGGGGCACCCCTGGAGGACTCGAAGACGTCAGGGAGGGGCCCTCGTGGGCGCTAGTTTCCCGACCGGCCCGGCTCCGGGCGTCAGCACCTCTGGCGCGGCCGATGGGACCCCTCTAGGGGCTTCGGGTAGTCTCCCGCCACCTCCCCAGAGGGCGCGTGGCCTGGCGCAGAGCCCCGCGAGGGCGCCCCTTTCCGCCCAGGTGTCCGACGGCGCCGGCCGCGACCCCGCACGGGGCCGCGCCGTCCGGCCGGGGCTGGCGGGGCGCCGCGCCCTTACCGCAGGTAGCTGCCCGAGCTGTGCTGGTTGTAGTGCTCCGGCTGCGTGTGCCAGAACAGCATGGCTGGAGCTCCGAGCGCGCGGGGAGGCGCGGCGGCCGGCGGAGACGCGGGCGGCGCCCACCGCGGTCACCTGAGAGCCGCGCCGGGAACCCGGGGTGCCCGGTGGCCCGCGCATTTATGGGCGGCGCGGGGCGGGGGCGGGGCGGGGCCGCGTCCGCACCGCCCCCGGACCGTGGAGGGAAGGCGGCTCCGGGCCTGGCGCACCTGGCCGACCGCGCGGCGCGCCCTTTCCCGGAGCCAGAGCCCTCGGGGGCGAGGCGACGGCGTGCGGCGCGGCGCGGCGAGCGGGCCCGGTGACCCCGCGGCAGCCCACCTGCTCCCGCACCCCCGCGCGCCCTCTCGGGCCCAGGCGGAGCAGAGGTGTCCGGGGACCCGGCCCAGGCCCAGGCACGCGGAGACCTTAGCTTGCTCTTTTCCTCTCCTAGCGTTTCGCACCCAGAAATTTAGGCGCCCTGAAACGTTCTTGTGCGCTGGTTGTCTTTTCTCCTGCAATGTAAGCTCCCAGAGGGCAGGGCCTAGGCTCCCTTACCTCGCCAGCTGCCCGGAATAAGTATTTAAATAAATATTAAGTAAATATGAAAAGGGAGAGCAATGGAATGGCTTCCTGCCCGCGGTGTCGCGCTGAGGGGGCTGAACATCTGTGGCGAGCTCAGGAGACAGCTCCGGGGGGAATGGGCCGCAGAGGGGAGTTCTTTTACCCCATTTGTTTTTCCTCAGGTACCCCTCCTCCCCTCTCCATCCTCTAGATTTTATTCCCAGCGTGTTTTACGCGAGTCCCGGGTTTGCCTTTTGGGAAGATCTGGCTGCCAGCGGCAGGGACCACTAGTGTGTCGTGGCCGGCGGTCAGGCAAGAGGAAGCAGAGTTCCATGGGGCAGGGCCCGCATCCGAGGGCTATCAGGTCCCCAGAGCATGGCACGGGGCCTGGTAGAGAAGGTAGCCCCTGGGACTGAGGCTTGTAGCGCTCAGTTCCCCAGACCTGGATGTGAATGAAACCTTCCCTCACTGGCCCTCCCTGCTCCCTGAGGCCACAGGTCAAGACTGGCAGCTCTCATGGACTCCTTGCTGTACTGCCCTGGGATGCAGGGTGGAGAGCAGTCGGCACACCGCCCCCACAGCCTCCTCCTCCAGGACCCCTGCTGCTGCAAGGACATCATGGACCTCCAGGTTTCAATGACTGTCTCGGCCGGCAGTCAGTGCTGATGGGCTGTTTCAGCCCTGGGATTCCCCATGGAGGGAGTCCAAGCTGTGTGGAACCTGCATCACTGCTCGAGGTGCCCCTCAGCCCACCCCGGCTTCCTTCCCATCCCCTGCCAGGGTGTTAATACCGAAGGAGTTCAGTGCCTCTTTCAAACAGGAAGGCTAGGGTCCCTTTCCTGGTTTGCTTTCATTCTAACCAGAGGTGGGGCAGGCAGTGTAACCAGGGAAGTGTCCTGCTGTCCTGGCCTCAAGATGACCCTGATGTGTATGAGTTGAAGTGAGGCCACTGCCTAGCAGTGGAGGAAGAGAACTGATCAGAGGGAGAGAAAAGAGAGGTGAGGACTCAGACCTGGGTCACTACTTATCAGGGTCAGAGTACGAGGCCCTTCCTGGGATAAACTAACACCACTTCCCTCAGAGGTGACTTCTGACTCTGCCCTGCAGGCCTGGACCCGTGGCTTGCTCTCAGCAAGCAGGAGCAATGCAGTGCAGAGCTGGGCAAGTCTGTGAGGCAGTGCGCAGCTGCTCCGGGCTCCGGCAGGGCTTTGAACCATCACAAGAGCCCATGCCCACTTGCAAGGGAATAGCCAGCCACAGTCACGCCAGCCCCCAGCAGTGCTCCCAGGGGAAGGGCCCGCACTGACCTGTCCCTGAGGCAAGCCCACCCAAATGCAGGCGGGTGGGGCAACTCCGATGGTGCTTTCAGCTCCCACAGTGTGGGACACGGCTTGGGCTTGGTTGGTACCAATGGAGACATGAGACACAGGGTCCTTTGGGCTGCAGTTTGCTTCTGGTAAAGTGGGGTGATATGGCTTAAAGCCAGGCGACTGCAGCTTCTCATTTCCAGGTACAGCTGTACCTGCAGGGCACAGGTGACTGCAGACTGAAGGTGATGGTGTCATAGCAGTGAGCTCAGTGTATCATGCCTGTTTCTACTGCTGGGGACAGAAGCCAGGGTCCTCTATATGCTGGGTACATGCTCTACCACTAAGCTCATCCTCAGCCCAAGGATTCTTTTTTAAAAATGTTTCTTCAGGACTTGAAGAGTCTAAATTACACTTTGTGCACACTGGGTTTTTGTTTGTTTGGTTTGTTTTGTTTTTTGTCTTTTTGAGACAGGGTCTTACCATGCAGTTCAGGTTGGTCTTGAGTTCACTTTGTAGCCCAGGCTGGTCTTGAACTTGCAGTGATCTTCCTGCCTCAGCCTCTCAAGTGCTGGTATTACAGGCATTTGCCACCACACCCAGATGTGTATACTATTTGGATTTTGTTCCTTTTATTGTGTCATTTTCAAGGCACTAGAAATGGAGCCCAGGATCTGGATAGGGCTCTGCCACTGAGCTAGGCCGCTTCCTGATTCAGTCTCTCAAAGTGAAGCCATCTGTACACTGACATTCTTCTCCTACCACCCTTTCCAGACAACATGGATGTGGTGTAACAGACACCTGCCGTGTGTCAACCCCTGCACAGCTGCGCCCCACATGAGAACCCCATGGTGAGCACTGGGTCTCACAAAGGCCCCAGGAAACAGTTGGTGGGTCCCTTTTGCAAATGAGGCTGTGGCCAGGTGACCTGCCCTGGATGGTATAACCAGCAAGTGGAGGAACTAGGATTTGAACTGCATCCCTCCTATTCCAAGAACCACGTGGTAACCCTCCACCTGCTCTCCCCTCTCCACCCCAAGTGCTCATCATCGATGGGTCTTTGGGTAACAGTTGGACACCCTCATTCTTCTGAGCACTGCTCTGCTCCTCACTCACTCAGAAGTTGCAGCATGGCCCTGGGTGTTGTCAGCCACATGTCCTTTGGTTCAGGGCCACACCAGAGCCCTGTTCCCTGCTTTACATCTCTTTGTGTGAATGTCCCAGGTTGCCTGCAGGAGCACATAGAACACCTTTCCCTAGGGACAGGGTCAGCTGCTCTAGAGAAACTGGGGGAGCCAAGAGGCCGCCCACAGACAGACCTCCCCAGGGGGGACAGGGGACTCAAGAGGTGGGAACGAGTGCTCCTCCCATTCATTGCTATCTCTGGAAGTAGATGTTATTCACCCACTTTACCAGCGCTTCAGACTTCAATCCTTGGTCCAAACTTCATGGCCAGGACGGTGGAGCCAGGACAGAGCCCAGTGCATTCTGCTTTGAAAAGCCAGGCTCTGACCATCACACTGAGCTGGAAGAAGTTGGACAAGAAGAAGTTGAAAGAATCGCCTCGAGGCATTTGACATGGGGTCTGCAGTAGGAGAACCAGTGAGCTGCGCTACAGGGCAGATGGTCTCACATGACCCAACATGTAAGAAAAGGCACTAACACAAAAGACAGATCAAAAACTGTGTGAGCACAGGGTTGGGGTGAGTGGGAACCAACTTGGAGGAAACAGAGGCCACACAGAGTGACCATCACAAAATCCACCAGTGCTGGCACTGGCCATCTTCAGCAGCTCAGCAAGCACATGGATATTGCATGTACCCGAAGCCCCACCAGGCTGCTGCACTCGGCTGCAGAATCTGTGCCCAGCTTACAATGGGCCAAGGGGGCTGGTGGAGTGTCAGTGGGGTTGATACTCCTTTGCCAAGCCACACACTGGCACTAGGCTGCCAACACATGGGAGAAGCTCCAAAACCACCATCTGTCCATCGACCTGAGAGCCCACCAGCCATATCCCTCTGTGGCCACCTGCCTACCAGGGAGAGACCCCTTTATTTCCCAGCTTTCCCCACTCTCCTGCTCCTTAGTGCCCCCCAGCCTCAGCCTGGCTGGCTGATTTCCCTGAGGCTCGGCTGGTACACCTTCTCCATGGAGCCTGCCCTTCCCCAGGAGTGTACACCAATGCCCTTCTCCTTTACTCCAAGCCCTACAGATGTCAGCTCAGGCAGCTTCACACCCCATCATTCCCAAATTCAGGTTCAAGAGAGAGCAGAGCCTGCCACAAAAAGAGTTTGCACTTAGAAATACTGCAAGGCTGGCTTTAACTTCTGCCTCTGTCCCTTACTAGTTCTGGGACCTCAACTGGCATCTTAACTTCACCAGCCTTGACTTCCTCCTGCAGTGTAATGCAGGAGTCACCACCAGGGGAGGTTTCAAGGCTTCGCTGAACCGTGGTGTGCAACTTAGTGCCGGGGATAGCACCAGACACTGGTAAGTGCTCAGTTACCTCTTGCATCTTGCCTGGATTTGGCCTAGCACCAAAGTATGGCTGAAGTATCTGCTGGTTGCCAAGTAGGATCAGGGACAGAGGCAACATGCCCCTGATGAGGACAGAGCAACTCTCCCCTCTGTGACCCTCCTGAGATGTCAACTGCTGTGGCTTCACAGAGGATGCTGTGTGCTGCCGCTGTCCCTTTAGGACCAAGTACTTGTCCTTGCTTCTTTCCACAACTGAGAACGCTGGCAGCTGGACACCTTGCTCCTGGGCACTTCCCAGGACTTTCCTCATTCTCATGTCCCTCTGTGGGGCATCCCACATCAAATGACAGTTGGCATGGAATACAAGATCCTGGTGTTGCCAGTCAGCCTAGGGTTCCTTGCCTCAGTTTGGATGAAAATAATTAATTGGCAAAGGCAGCTCTGTTGGAATCCTGATGTCACCAGATGACACTAGGTAACATTGGATGCCAAAAGTTAACACAGCCAGCTGCTGGTCACTGCCACTGTGGGCCATCATCCTCCAATGCTTGCTGTACCAGACACAGTAAGGTGACTGTATGGGGGTTGGTGGTGCAAGCTTGTGCTGGGCCCTGTAGAGGGTTCACTGCTCTTTCTTTGGAAATGACTGCTCTGTCCATGCCATTCAGAATAAAAATCCCAAGTAGATTTATAGGACTTTGAGGGCCCACACTACTCTAAAAATTAATCAAAAGCAGATTTGCTGGAACACTAAGTCTGAGCTGCAATGTGGGGCTT